TGCTGAAAACCTGGTTGCATCGCATTGCGATGTTCCTTGTTTTGAGTATTGTGCTGTGTTTAAGAACCATAACTCTTTTGCATACTTTTGGAGTTATTGCCCTTTGCATTTTTCACTTTAATTATTGTAATCATAACATTAAAAGTGATAGTACTCACCGGATATCAGTTTAAACTAATATTAAAGAGACAAATCTCAGTTTGAAGAATTTAAGACCATTGCAAATTCAAACTTTATTCAAGATTGACATTAAATACCATAGGAGAAGCAACAAATTTTATGCAAAAAATAAGTAACCCTATACTTTTCTAATTTTTCCTGCTCTTAATAAATTATGTGTGTTTTACGCAGCCCTGGAAAAGTGATTTTACGTCCAATTTCCGTGTCTTTTCCTGCTACTTTACGGCTGGAATTATCATACGGGCAGTAACTTTGTATTGGAATAATGTGTTCATGGAATTCTAGTATTGAATATAAAAGATTTTTTAAGAAATACAAGTTTCTGATAAATTTTCTAACTGTTCAACTTTAATTAATTATATTTTAGATAAAAAATTCACTTGATGCTTTGGTAGAGTAAAAACTAGAAACAGATTTATTTCAATTTGGAGCTTTGACTTAAATAAATCTTAAACCCTGCAATGCACAATGATTTCTCAGTTTTTTCCCCCAATTCTTATGCCACCCAGAAAATAGTTAAGAGTTTCCCTTTTAGTCTAAAAGTTATTCACAAAATTTTCTAAGTTTTTTTCCACCAGTTTGCCACCCAGAAAATAGTTATAGTTTCATTTTTACACTAAAAGCCACTCATTTTCCACCTTCAAAATAAACCAAGTTTCATTTTTCACCAGTTTCCACCCTTTTGCCACCATGAAAAAAGTCTATGTTCAAATTTCCACTCAATGCCACCAAAGGATAGTGGCATTAATGCTGGTAATTTTGCCACTACAGTGGAGAAAGAGTGGAATTTTGTCATTTTCCAGTTAGTGCCACCTTTTTTACACTTAATGCCACCCTTTTCAGTGGAAATAGCTGGCAAGTATTGGCAAATCTAGGGACGGGTGATATTTAGACTGCATTGAATTGACCTTAAACTTGATCAGCAATTAAATTAATCGTTACAATGAGATGTAGTTTGTTTATTTCAAATGAAAATGCACTACAGAAAACATTCATTTATTACTGTTTTGTGTGGGAGACAAGGAAAAACAACGGAGAAGTTTAAAAATTCTGGAAAAATGTCAAACATGTACGTAATGGATCAAAACTGTTTTGTCAATAAATATCAGAAAGTTATTTTTTACATTAGCATCCATTTAGATTATCGGAGTGTTCTAATTATTGAACATTTATATAAATGAAGTTGAAAAACATTCCCACTGCAAAGAAAGATGTCATGTATAAATTTTGACTTTTTGTGCCCCCACTTTGGGGGGGGGGGGGGCATTTAGATTTACCCTTGTCCGTCCGTACGAACCCAGAGGTACTTGTGTGACTTGGAGAACAATGGGTAACAGTAAATTCTCTTTGATCCTATTCATTCCGTTTTTACTTGTGTTTCTTTTTTTTTAAGCCTTGTGTGACTAAAAATGGCCAAAAAGATCAAAGGAAAAGTCACATAAGTACCATTTTGTGAGTATGTCCGTCCGTCTGTCCGTTCTCTTTTGTGTCGCATGTAACTCAAAAAGTATTTGACCTAGAGTCATGAAACTTAACAGGAATGTTGATCAGCATGTGAAGTTGTGCACCTGGGTATTTTCCTCTGGATTTATTAAGTATTTTTAGAGTTACTGCCCTTGACTTAGTAAAATTTTGCAATTTTCAACTTGTGTCGCATGTAACTCAAAAAGGATTTGACATAGAGTCATGAAACTTTACAGAAATGTTGATCAGCATATGTAGTTGTGCACCTTGGTATTTTGTGTGGATTTATTTAGTATTTTTAGAGTTTTTGCCCTTGACTTAGTAAAAATTTGCAATTTTCAACTTGTGTCGCATGTAACTCAAAAGGGATTTGACCTACAGTCATGAAACTTTACAGGAATGTTGATCATCATGTGTAGTTGTGCACCTGAGTATTTTTGTGTGGATTTATTTAGTATTTTTAGAGTTATTGCCCTTGACTTAGTAAAAATTTGCACCTGGGACTTTGCATGTGGATTTTTTAAAGTTTTGTTAGAGTTATTGCCCTTGACTTACAGTGGTATAAATTTGCAATTTTCAACTTGTTCATGCATAGCTCAAGAAGTATTTGACTTGTAGGCCTGAAAATTTACAAGAAGGGGTTTGCTTGTGGATTTATTCAGTATTTGTAAAGTTCTTGCCCTTTAAATAGTAAAAGATTTTTAGTTTTCAACTTGTGGCACATGTAGTCCAAAAAATATTTGACCTAGAGTCATAAGATTGACAGAACAGTGGCGTGTGGGGGCACCCGTGTCCTATGGACACATTTCTATTTATCATGCTTTGTCTTAAGAGACTGTTTCATTTAGAGACTGTTTTGGGAGTTTCCCTTCGCGCGGTCACTTAATACACGTTTGACTGTATTTAGATATATAGCAATAATGATTACAGCCATTCACGCTATAGAAAAGCTATATGAAATTAAAAAGCTGTAATTTTTTTATCATTGCTGGAAAGCATAATAATTTTAACAATGGAGATGTAAGTGCCAGTCTCCGACTTTTCACGCCAATTTAATTTATTCGGCGTTTCACGCTGATTTTGAGCATTCAAAGGTGGATTTCATTGTAATTTGGCGTGTCACACCGATATTTTTAATGTTTAACAATGGTTTCATATCCAGCCCATGTGTAATTATCTGGAAAATACCAGCATTTATTAGGCGTTTTACGCCGTATTCAGCTCGATTTTAGTCATGTTATGTTGCCGACGAGGATATTGTTGATTTGCGCTTCACACTGCACGATAGGATAGTTATCTGCAATCAATACCGACGTGGAAATATTGTCTAGAACCAAGACGACATTGATGATTCTTGTAGAAATATTTGTTCTCCCTTAAATTCATTATGATAAAAAACTGACTTACCTAAGAATCGTTGTTGATACTTGAAATAAAAGTATTCCTCAACACTCCTGAATTTTATAACAATATTTAACTCCTTTAATACTTAAGAATAACGCTTTTCTTGAGATTGCAATTTTTTGTGACTGATAAGCCCAGACTTAGCCTCGTGATATGCTATGGTAGATGCTGCATCATCTCTATGGGGCCCCAAAGGGGAGTTATGTGGGGGACGAAATTTAAATCACAATACATTCATTTACTTCAACACAGAATGAATATATCTTCATTTAGTAGAGAGACATAATAAATTCAGCATAAATTAACTAATTTATAAAGAAATATAAGTGCTTAACAATTACATTTTTTCTTAGATTTAAATTGTTTCTCTTTGTGTAGTTAAATTTTTGGGTAATATATATTCAACCACTGATCAGGCATGTACCTTGTAATGAGTGTTAAATGAAATAATTATTTAATGCATGTGGATCTTACTTGTTTCAATACCAAACTTTGGTGGCAATTTTAAAGAATGATGACATATTTAACCCATTACTTCATGAGCATTTTGTGAAAAATGGCTGTTTTCATTGAAAAGTCTCCTGTTACAAGTTCAAATTGCTATAATACTATAAAAACTGCTTCAACACTAATCAAACTTGGCACAAATGTTGACTGGACCATTGCCCTTGAAACAACATGCTCAGGCTTAAATTTTCTGTTACCATGGCAACGAGGGGACATCTCAAAATTGCCAAAAATCACTATTTTGCATTAATTTTTTCCATCAAAATTGATTTCAAAGTGCTGCAGCTTCTCAATGGATTGAGATAGAGTCAAATGCTTTTCAGCGTTGGTTACATGTTACCTTATGATCAATTTGGGGTCATTTATAGCCTCTCACAAGTCCAAAATTTTCTTGGCGATGAGCGGGACTCCGCTCCCCCTTCAAACCCTCGAAACAGAAGGGGGCACATCCCCCTTCTGGCAACCCCCTTTTGGTTGGGGGACCGCGCCGAAAAAGTGGTCCCTTTTTCTAACAACATTTCTCAAACAAAAACAAGTGTTGGGGGCCTAAATAAGGCATTTTTTGACCATTAGAGACAACAAAAAGGGGGGGTGAAAAAGGCGTTAAAAGGCGTGTATATGAAGTAATGGGTTAAAGGTCATGATGCAGCACAATGGGATATCATTTTTTTTTAGTTTTTTCTTTTTTGTGCAATAACGGAAGAGAAACAGCAAGCTCTTGAAAGGATTATTACAGTTTCATTTTGTTTAACTATTAAGTGTTTATTTTGCTAACTGCTACTTTTAATTACAGTGAGTACACATATAATTATGGTATTTATGATATGACCTGCTAATCTCACTGCTAAGTAATAAAGTAATTTGTTCTTGTTGTTTGTCAACAGTTTACAATTGTGTATTTTAATTATGTGTTTAAACCAGAAAACTGTCTTATAGTAAAAAAGATTATTAATGCATAGTAACTTAGCAAAAAGTATCAAAGTTTAATGTATTAAGTGAGGTAAATGCAGAAAACAACCAAATCAGCTGAAAATTTCTAAGTCCAAAACTTTCATAAAAAAATAAAAGTATTTTCCAGAGTAAAACTCCTTGAAAATTGTCTAAGTGTTAACTTTCCAGAGTTTCCAGAACTGTATATGGTTATATCTTTCGATGAAAAAATCAAGTTCCAGAGTTCTCCATGAAAATTGTTCCAGAATTACCCTGTAAATACTGTGGAAGAAAGCATGTTTCCGTGAAAATTCATGAAAAATTGGTTGTTTTCTGAAATATTTCCAGAAAGACTGTGGAAAATCTACAGACGTGTATATTGCCCCACCTCAGTGGAGTTATTGTTCACTGAAGGGAGGGTTAGATGTTGAAATTTACAAATTCATGTTTCCTTAACTAAAAAAGATGTTAAGTACCTAATAGACTAATTATGAGATTTGTGTGTATTTAATTAGAAAATAAGCAGAACAGAGGAGACATGTTATGGAAAGGATATAACTGGAGGATGTTTGTTCATAATACTTACTCTTGACTTTGACTATGTACTTAAGGATAAGAGACGGAGACGTTATGCTGTGGAATCAGAGGATGAGGCTCAGGTACAATATTTTTTATCTTTACAATAACACAATACTCACATTTAAAGCTCACTTGAGTACAACATGCTGATGATTTTGTGACCCCCATCTGACATCTCCTCTGAAACCAATGATTGCATATTTACCAAACTACATTATGGATCAAAGTTTTTAAAATGGTTCCAGTCACAAAGCAAAAAAAGGTAAAAATTGGGTTTTCTGAAAGTACAAGGCCCATGGTTTTGATGTGTGGTGTATATAACATATTCTTTAATGGTCTAAGTATTTTAAAGAATATCATACAATTTTATGTGTAGGAAATTTGCAGATCATGGCCCTCTATTAAACAAAAGAAAATAACAAAAGATTATGGCCCCTTAGTCCATTTAAATGGAGGGCCATTTCTTTTGTTTTTTCTTTTGTAAATTAATAGAGGGCCATGGCCCCTTATTCTATTGTTACGGAATGAACTTTATTGTTCTCTTTTGTTCTGTTTACAGTTACTACTTCTCTTAAATAGCCGGTCCGTCCACAAAACTGTATCCCGCGATAACGCAAAAAGTACTGAAATTTTTAGTCCCCAACCGGGACTATAGGTTTACCCTCCGTCCGTCTTTCTGTCTGTCCATCCTTCGTAAGTCAGTCCGTCCACAAAACTGGATCCCTGATAATGCAAAAAGTAATGAAAATATTTTTATGACTTGATATATGGATAGATGGCACACTGGAGATTATGCATTTCTTTTTCTTTTCTTCCTATTTTTGAGAACTTTGGTTGCTATTATGGCAACAAATAGACTGAAAATATGGCTAATATAACATTATAAACTGGATCCAGTGATAACGCAAAAAGTACTGAAAATATTTTTTATGAAACTTGAAATTTGGGTAGAGCAGTCCAGAGATTATGCACGTCTTCTTTTTTTCTGAAGCTATGCATGTGGATTTTGTATACCCCCGCACAACAAAGTTGTAAGGGGGGAATACTGGAATCAGGTTGTCCGTCCGGCGTCCGGCTGTCCGTCGGTTTTTTCTTGTCCGCCCAATTACTTAAGATTCCTTTGACCCACAGTCTTCATATTTGGCATGGAGGTTAGTCATGATTAGTAGATGACCCCTATTGATTTTGAGGTTACCAGGTCAAAGGTCAAGGTCACAGGGGCCTTGACTTCAAAAAGATTGTCCGCCCAATAACTTAAGATTCCTTTGACCCACAGTCTTCATATTTGGCATGGAGGTTAGTCATGATTAGTAGATGACCCCTATTGATTTTGAGGTCACCAGGTCAAAGGTCAAGGTCACAGGGGCCTTGACTTCAAAAAGCTTGTGTGCCCAATAACTTAAGATTCCTATGACCCACAGTCTTTATATTTGGCATGGAGGTTAGTCATGATTAGTAGATGACCCCTATCAATTTTGAGGTCACCAGGTCAAAGGCCAAGGTCACAGGAGCCTTGAGTCAGCCCAATAACTTAAGATTCCTTTGACCCACAGTCTTCATATTTGGCATGGAGGTTAGTCATGATAAGTAGATGACCCCTAATGATTTTGAGGTCACCAGGTCAAAGGTCAAGGTCACAGGGGCCTTGACTTCAAAAAGCTTGTCCGCCCAATAACTTAAGATTCCTATGACCCACAGTCTTCATATTTTGCATGGAGGTTAGTCATGATAAGTAGATGACCCCTATTGATTTTGAGGTCACCAGGCCAAAGGTCAAGGCCACAGGGGCCTTGACTTCAAAAAGCTTGTCCGCCCAATAACTTAAGATTTCTTTGACCCACAGTCTTCATATTTGGCATGGAGGTTAGTAATGATTAGAAGATGACCCCTTTTGATTTTGAGGTCACCGGGTCAAAGGTCAAGGTCACAGGGGCCTTGACTTCAAAAAGCTTGTCCGCCCAATAACTTAAGATTTCTTTGACCCACAGTCTTCATATTTGGCATGGAGGTTAGTCATGATTAGTAGATGACCCCTTTTGATTTTGAGGTCACTGGGTCAAAGGTCAAGGTCACAGGGGCCTTGACTTCAAAAAGCTTTTCCGCCCAATAACTTAAGGTTCCTATGACTCACAGTCTTCATATTTTGCATGGAGGTTAGTCATGATTAGTAAATGATCCCTATTGATTTTGAGGTCACTGGGTCAAAGGTCAAGGTCACAGGGACCTTGTCACCCTCAATTGCTTCAGAATGCCTGTCCAGAGTGTATTGATTTTGACATTTTCACATTTGAAGCATGTAGAATACATAACTTAGCAATGCACTGGCTTAGTAACCTCAGATTTGGCAGGGAGGTTGTCCTTGAGTTCTAAATGGCCACTGTTGATTCTGACAAAGTGGTATGCGGGGGTATTCACGCCATGATAGTGGCAGTTCTAGTTTTTTTAAATTTCAAGGTACTGATTTAACTTGTATTTGAATGGTTTAACCTTCATGAAAACAGTAAAAGTAACTTCCAGGTATATTTCATTTACACTATATTTTGTTGTAAATATCTTGTAGTCAAAAACTACATTTCAGTAAAGGAAACTGAATGTTGCATATATGCATAAAATTTTTTATACATTAACAGCTTAAAAATATTTTAAATTGACACTAACCTTTAAATTACATTTGACACTAACCTTTAAATGACATTAAAGAATTTTATAAACCTGGTGCTTGTTTTTAAAAAGAAAAATACTTTTAAGATCTATTCCTTAGGGTGAGCGATATAGGGCCATCATGGCCCTCTTGTTCTTCTTAAAAATACATAACTCTCTCCTACAAAGTTATGGAGTTATTGCCTTTTATAAGTTTTCGTCTGCAAAGCATAGCAGGAAAATGTTAAGAGAAAATAATTTTAAACTCCACATATAAGTAAATCTCATTGATGAGAAGTACAATGCCTAGAAACCATAACTCTTTATTGCATGCTTTGGGGTTTATTGCCATTCTGTACTTCTCCATGCTTGATTTTTGTCTTGATCATTAAACTTAAAAAGTATTGGAGATATTAATTTGAAATTTCACAGATATAGATCTTTTTGAGTATTGTGCTGTGTTTAAGAACCATAACTCTTTTGCATACTTTTGGAGTTATTGCCCTTTGCATTTTTCACTTTAATTATTGTAATCATAACATTAAAAGTGATATTACTCACCGGATATCAGTTTAAACTAATATTAAAGAGACAAATCTCAGTTTGAAGAATTTAAGACCATTGCAAATTCAAACTTTATTCAAGATTGACATTCAAGCTTGTCCGTCCAATAACTTAAGATTTCTTTGACCCACAGTCTTCATATTTGGCATGGAGGTTAGTCATGATTAGTAGATGACCCCTTTTGATTTTGAGGTCACAGGGTCAAAGGTCAAGGTCACAGGGGCCTTGACTTAAAAAAGCTTTTCCGCCCAATAACGTAAGGTTCCTATGACTCACAGTCTTCATATTTTGCATGGAGGTTAGTCATGATTAGTAAATGATCCCTATTGATTTTGAGGTCACTGGGTCAAAGGTCAAGGTCACAGGGACCTTGTCACCCTCAATTGCTTCAGAATGCCTGTCCAGAGTGTATTGATTTTGACATTTTCACATTTGAAGCATGTAGAATACATAACTTAGCAATGCACTGGCTTAGTAACCTCAGATTTGGCAGGGAGGTTGTCCTTGAGTTCTAAATGGCCACTGTTGATTCTGACAAAGTGGTATGCGGGGGTATTCACGCCATGATAGTGGCAGTTCTAGTTTAAGTTTTGTTAGAGTTATTGCCCTTGACTTACAGTAGTATAAATTTGCAATTTTGAACTTGTTCATGCATAGTTCAAAAAGTATTTGACTTGTAGGCCTGAAAGTTTACAAGAATGTTGGTCAGCATGTGTACTTATGCACCTTGGGGTTTGCTTGTGGATTTATTCAGTATTTGTAAAGTTCTTGCCCTTAGTAAAAGATTTTTAGTTTTCAACTTGTGCCACATGTAGTCCAAAAAATATTTGACGTAGAGTCATAAGATTGACAGAACAGTGGCTTGTGGGGGCACCCGTATCCTATGGACACATTTCTAGTTCATACTAAATTTTTGTCCAGAGCATAACTAAAAAAGTGTTAGAGGTATCAACTTGAAACTTCATAGGTGGACAGATTGCATCGAGGAGGAGTTCAGCACACAAGAATGATAACTCTACCCTGCATGATTTTTCAGTTATTGCCCTTTGTTATTTTTCATGCTTATTTTTTGTCCAGACCATTACTAAAAAAGCCATTAAGATATCAACATGAAACTTCATAGGTGGATATATCTCATTGAGGAGGAGTGTAGCACACAAGAATGATAACTCTACCCTTCATAATTTTTCAGTTATTGCCCTTTGTTATTTTTCATGCTTAATTTTTGTCCAGTGCATAACTAAAAAAGCCTTTGAGATATCAACATGAAACTTCATAGGTTGATGGCTGTCATTGAGGAGCATTGCAGCACACAAGAATGATAACCTACCCTGCATTTTTAGCTCCACTATTCGAAGAATATGAGAGCTATTGTAGTCGCCCCGGCGTCGGCGTCAGCGTCCGCGTCGGCGTCTGCGTTGGTTAAAGTTTTTTGTTAAGTCAAATATCTCAATTATTGCTTGAGATATTCAATTGAAACTTACAATACTTATTTATAGTGACAAGGTACATCAGATTGACAAGTTGGATAACTCTGCCTACAATATTGACAGAATTATGCCCCTTTTTAACTTAGAAATTTTGGTTAAAGTTTTTGTAAAGTCAAATATCTCAATTATTGCTTGAGATATTCAATTGAAACTTACAATACTTATTTATAGTAACAAGGTACATCAGATTGACAAGTTGGATAACTCTGCCTACAATATTGACAGAATTATGCCCCTTTTTAACTTAGAAATTTTGGTTAAAGTTTTTGTAAAGTCAAATATCTCAATTATTGCTTGAGATATTCAATTGAAACTTACAATACTTTTTTATAGTAACAAGGTACATCAGATTGACAAGTTGGATAACTCTGCCTACAATATTGACA